TATTTATCGGACTGTAAATCAAGTTGAATAACTCTATCAAACACAAACTTGGTGTTTTTTGCATTAAAGCTAGCAAATTTATGTAAAATGATATTATTTATAATTTCTATTATATCAGATATTATATCCTCAGATAAAATATGCTCAACATTACTATGAAAATAATGTGTGTGTGTGTGTGTGTAAGTCAATTACATTACCACATAAATCCAATACATGATATTGCACCTTTGCAACTAATTTTACTGTTACAGCTGTATGTTTTCTAAATCCAGTTCGTATTTTATCTTCTACGTATGGTTTGGTTCTTCTAAGAAATATACTTAAATCACAACTATTTATATCCGAGTAGAATGAATAATCAACAAGCATGTTATTCCACATGCCTTTAGCTCTAACAACTTTTACTTCTTCTTCTTCATCACAATAATTGTTTGGTAATTCTTTAAAGTCTGTTGATTTATTTATAATCCCATCTTTCCTTTTTCTTGGTTGAGAAAAAATATTTTCATGAAAAGGAAATTCGTTACTACTTGATGGCTCCATTTATTAGCGAAAATTTTTATCAACATAATTTTTTGTAATTTTATTGCCTTTATGAATGATTTTATAGGTGATTTTGATGTTTTTAGTTGATTTTGATGGTGGAAAAAAATTCGGTCCAGAACGTATGCTTTTATATACTACTGCTAGATGTTACTAATACCATGCGCTGTAAAAAACATTTAAAAAATTGCGCTTTACAAAATGTATTTAAAATATTCAATTGGTGGACGAATCATCATAAAGATTCACCCAAACATTATTTAGAATAAACTAATGTTAAAATATATTTTTATTCTCTTTTATTCTTCCCTTTTCCTCTTTCTTATCCCAGTATGCCAGTATTAAATCTCAGTACGTGACGTTAGATAGCGGCGTCAGCCATCTTATCAGAATACAGATGTTACATTTCAGTACATGGGCATAGACTTTAAATATTTGAATGGCGTATAAATAATTGTTTTGTCGTTCAAAGCCGTTCGGTAGCCGTTCGATAGCTGTTCATAGCCGTTCGATAGCCGTTCGGTAGCCGTTCAAAGCCGTTCGATAGCCGTTCAAAACCGTTTAAAGCCGTTCGATAGCCATTCAATAGTCGTTCATAGCCGTTCGATAGCCGTTCGAAGCTGTTCGATAGCAGTTCGATAGCCGTTCAATAGTCGTTCATAGCCGTTCAATAGTCGTTCGTAGTTGTTCGATAGCCGTTCAAAGCTGTTCAATAGCCGTTCAAAGCCGTTGGATAACCGTTCAAAGCCGTTCGGTAGCCGTTCAAAGCAGTTCGATAGCCGTACAAAACCGTTCAAAGCCGTTCAAAAGCCGTACAATAGCCGTTCAATAGTCGTTCATAGCCGTTCAATAGTCGTTCATTGCCGTTCGATAGCCGTTCGATAGCCGTTCAAAGCCGTTCAACACCGTTCAAAGCTGTTCGATAGTGGTTTACATATTATAATACATTCATATTTAAAAGACTTTTAGATAATTGTCTGCGGGAACGTGCTTACTTTTGTCTTCTTATCAAGTGCAGAAGGTAAGCGTTCTTTGTAAGTGATACATTTCCTACTCTAAATGTTTAATCAAGACAATGTCTATTCCATTATGTCCGTCACAAAGTGTCTGACAACGAGTGAAGTACGTTTAGTGTATAAAAATGTTTCGCCTTAATCTGGTAAGTAGTGTTCAGTATTTTCATATGTGACA